TATCACCACGTGTTCAATATTAGATAAAGATGACTCACGAGTGAAAAAAATAACAAAGCTAATTACTCAAATTGTTGGAACTTTGCAATGAAATATGGAGCTATTACAGGTAAATGAGTTTGCGTGAACTAGCTCCAGCCGTGAAATTAAACAATTAAAAAAAAATTTACGATATGAAAAAAACAGTAAATCTCTTTTTTCTCTCAAAAATTTTATAGGGAAACAGAGAAAAAACAATGCATGAAAATTCACAAACAATTTTGAAATTAAATGACGAGTCTAGAAGAAAACGCTCCTCGAAAATTGTTAACACTTGTGACAAAAAAATTTCAATTGAAAAAAAAAATAATGAAATTTAAGGAGAAAAATTTTTTCGTGTAAAAATATTTGAAATAAACACATAATTTAGAATAAGGTCGATCGTTACGGCACAAGTGACCAAAATTCAATGAGTCAAGAAAAAATGGCGCTTTGCACAGGACAATATGAACATTCAAAATTTCGTATTAGCGTTTATGAAAAAAAGCTTCTATGATAAATGTAATAATAAATACTAATGAAAATGAAAATAAAAAAATTATTGGATCGTGATATCACCACTTGTTCAATATAAGGTAAACGAGTGAAAAAAAAATAACAAAGCAAATTACTCAAATTGTTGGAACTTTGTAATGAAATATGGAGATAATAAACAGTATTCAAGCTTAAAGTCCATTAAAACAATACAAATCGGGAGCAGAGCAAACACCGACCTCCAAAAACATCAGAATCAGAGGTGGGATCAGGTGCAATGGAGCAGTGAGCATCCCCTCCCGACCTGTCACAACCGACTTGTGCTCCTTGTCATGATTGGGAAATAACGGAAAAATTTGTCGGCAATTCAGGGTGTAAATAATGGCCTTACAATTATTATGAAAAACATCAGTCAGCTTATGACTTAATGATAGATTGTATTTGCTGACAAGGTCATTGTATCGACCATAGAACTTACAAAATGATGACTTTAAAACGAAACAGTTGATATTCTTGTTTCATCAACTTCTTTTTCAATAAATTACCTCGTTTTAGAAATTGTTCGAATTAGAAAATGCTCTTGCACATCGAATCAACTGAGAGATATACACCCCATATGCAGGTGAGAAGGGTATATTGCGGCATAAGTAAGGGAAGTTGACGATTGAAAAGTTAGTCATCACGTTTATCATAAAGCTTTGTTGTTAGATTACCATTAACGTCTTTTTCTAGTAAAATTTCCAAATATGAAACAAATGTGTCAGATGTCAGACTCTGTGGTGTCTTTTATTTAAAGCTCACTGGGATATATCATGTCGATATATGAATGGAAATAACTATTGTTAATTGATAATACGTCGTCGATATATAAAAATGTCGACTTGAAGGCCATAGCAAGATATTTTTTCTCATGTATAAGATTTTGAACAAATTCTGCTTCATATGAATGCTAACAATGGGGCACAATAGGTACCCATTGGAATTCCAACAGATGGTTGGAAGACCTGGTCTCCAAACACCAAACAAATATTGTCAATCAGAAACTCAAGAATCTTTTTAATATCAACTTCAGAGTACTTGTGTGTACTATCGAAATGTTTTTTAACAAAATAATTTTGCAAATGACCAATGACAAGGTAAGTAAATTAACAAGTTCCATTTTTATTGAAAAAGCAGCTGACAATTATGTCAAAAAGCCTGGACTTTAATTTATCATGGGGAACGGTTTTATACAGAGTTGAAAAGTCGTATGTTTTTATGTTATTGATATTGGTTAAATTTTGTGATTTCAAATTTTCCAAAAGTTCTTTGGAATTTTAAGCATCCACATCTGATTTACACCACTTTTTGTACATGTTGATGCGATATCGAGTTTACATCGTCTACATTGTTATTTTTCTACATTGTATGTCGACGTCAACATTGCAATATAGACAATGTTGATTTGAGTTTACATCGTCCAACGTTGCCATAATTACGATGTAAACAAGAAAAAGGATTCAATGTTGACACGATGTGGACTCGATATCGTCCAACATTGCAATGTCGAAGATGTGAACGATGTAAACAAGAGAAAAGAATGCAACGTTTAAACGATGGGGACGCGATATAGTCAAATATTACAATGTCGACGATGTTAACGATGTTAACAAGAAAATAGAATGCAACGTTGAAGCAGTGTCGACTCGATATCGTCCAACACTGCAAAGTCGACAATGTGAACGATGTAATCAAAAGAAAAGAAGGCAATGTTGATACAACACAATGTCAACTCGATTTCTTCCAACATTGCGATGTCAACGAAGTGAAAGATGCAAAAAAGAAAAATGCAATGTTGACAGTGTCGACTCGATATCGTCCAACATTGCGAAATCGACGATGTGAACGATGTAAACAATTAAAACAATGCAATCCTGACAAGATTTCCACTCGATATCGTTTAACATTGCAACAGAGATAAACAAAGGTATTTTCAAACACTGCTATATCGACAAAGTAATCAGAATATAAGAGTGCAATGCTGGCACAATGTCGACATGATGTCATGCAAAACTGGGGTGTTGAAATAGTTTACGATGGTAGTTGAATGAGGAGCAATGTGTAAATGTGTGTAATGAAATTAAAGGTATACATGTATATACAGCGGTGTCGACAATATCGATAAAATATCGTGCACTGGACATACCTCTAAAGAAAGAGGCTCTGTAGAACATTAAAGTTTTTTTTTAAGGATTTTCATGAAGTTTCGAAATCCAATATAAATATGGTTATTAAAATTCATTTTGGTTATTTGGAATATCAAAAATATTCAAAACTGACATATGATTAAGAAGAATTTCCTCCATAGAAAGGAAGCTATGGGTACATTGGATTGCCACTTGTAGAATTAAACCCAGTTCTTCTAAAGTACAATTAAAATAATGAGCCTTACAGGATGGACTTTTCTTAATATAAATCCCTCGTTATTAAGTATAATGTACTCTCTTTATAATTTTGCATCACCAAGATATCGAAATAATTTCTTTGTAGTTTAGTTCATCTAGTTGTTTTAGCAGATTAAAAAAATTAAAAGAGTTCTTGCTTATTATGAAGGTAACAGAGAGGACATATTTTTATTATACACTTCCAGTGAGACAAACCTATCGACCTCTGTACCCTTTCCTTTTTCAATTTCAAATCATGGCGCTCATTAGCTTGAGACAACAGAAAATGATGAAATATTATACAATTATGGACTGTCGGTGGTGAATTTGTTTTTTTTTTGACGACAGAGGTTCGTTATTGAAAATGGTATCTTCATGCAGACTTCGATGTCTTATTTATTCAAAGCCTGACTATATAATAAAACAATTATGGACTCTTTCGGTGGTGAATATGGTTTGTTATTCACCAGAAAAATATCAATATTGACCGAGGCGAAGCCGAGCTTAACACTTCCGTGTTTTCCTTTTGCTGTAAGACATCGAAATATTTGGAAAATAATCTTGCGATAGACTTGCCCAACATTTTTCCTGCTCAGATACACAGCTGGCTGCGGTCGTTGCAACCATTGTTTTCAACGTTGTTTTGAGGTATTGATTGTGACGTCACAATGCCGCTGCACGCGCACTCACCCTCCAGTGAATATGGCATCAAATCCAGTGAATATGTAGTATTATGGACTGTTTGCGTTTGTATAGATTATATAGGGACTATTTATAGACTATATAATAATGAGGGTTATGAGAAGAGTTCCTGTGGAATGGAGAAAACTCTTATTTTAACATTTTCTTTTTGGTAACATGAATGACATGAATTGGCAGGACATGACACTTCCTGAATGTTTTATGCACAATTATAGTATTTAGTGGGGAACATAAGTAAAACACCAATATTACATTAATCTGTGAATGAATTCAATTAATATGATGTGCAAAATTTGTGCATATCTACACAGGATAATATTTTCCCCATCATTTAACTGAGCACATTATAAAATTTTTGATAATGTGACATGACTTATCTGTTAATTTTTAATGAGAAGGGATACAATATTTTTTAATAAAACGCCTTGGAGATGATCAAAACATAACTTGTAAGCTGCTTGACCATGTACATTAACCGACAAGAAAAAAAATTTCCTCTGATGAATATTTTTCCTATTTTCTGATCAAAAGACAAAAAAGTGGACTTTTTTTTTAAATGACCCATGTATACTTCTCTTCCTTACTTGACCTGACATTCTGTATATATGTAAATGTGTTCATGTACCTCATGTATCATTGTATGGTCTGAGAGTAATAAACAAACAAATGCTGGTGACATAGGACGTCTTGTTTACCCATTTTCCATAATCAGCTCATACTCATATCGTTTTACTTAATGACCGATGGATTATCTCAAGCAAATGTCTGGATCTGAAGAATATGTATGACCGCAACTCCAACAACACCCTGTTTGCTCTGCTCCCTCTTTGTAGTTTCAATGGACTTTTGAACTCAAATTTACTGATCGTTATTTCTATAATGCATTTAATTATCATGATATCAGAATTCCATCATCTAAAAATTCTTCATTCATTATAACAAAACTTACCTTCTTTGTTCGTATGGACTATTTCTCAGTTTACAAGTTATAAAAAGAGAATTGTATATTATCTTTAAATGTATTTGATGATTAATTATTCAACGAAAATATTAAGAATTAATGGGTTTTTCAGATTTCTCATTAAAGCTGAAAATTCTATTTTTTTCTCTACGATTTAATGAATTGTAATCATAAACTGCAAAAAAAAAAAAAAAAAAAAAAAAAAAAAAAAAAAAAAAAAAAAAAAAAAAAATCCAAGAATAAACGTTTTACTATTGATTTAGAGAATTTGACTGATAGAAATTCTAAGAATGTATACAATTTTTTCCATTTTCCATGTATAACAGTTGTTGAATTGATTTGAATAAATTATAATTACATTTAGAATTAGAAATTATGAAATTAGTACTTAACTAATTCAGATAAGCCAGAAGTGAGCACTCCTATCTCAAGTCCATACAAGGTTGTCGAGGGTCAGACAGCCACAATGACATGTAGTGTGACTGCTGCCAACCCTAACACAGACATCAGATGGAGCTGGATCAAGACAGACAGTCCAAGTAATGTCCTCCATACAGGTCTTACCTACACAATCTCCAACACACATAGAAATCAGACAGGGATTTATAAGTGTAGAGCTAGCAACTCCATAGGGATGTCTACACCAGCTACAATATATGTCGATGTACAGTGTAAATAATGTTATAATTGTATTTGTTTCAAGAATAAAATTGTGTTTTCTTCTAGAAATTTAAAAACGTGATAAAAAAGTTCAGATTTTCATGCTCTTTAAATTGATTCTTCATGTTCATTTGTCTTCCAGATAAGCCAGAAGTGAGCACCACTACATCAAGTCCATACAAGGTTGTTGAGGGTCAGACAGCTATATTGACATGTAGTGTGACTGCTGCCAACCCTAACACAGACATCAGATGGAGCTGGATCAAGACAGACAGTCCAAGTAATGTCCTCCATACAGGCCCTACCTACACAATCTCCAACATACAGAGAGGGCAATCAGGGAACTACAACTGTAGAGCTACCAATTCCATAGAAATGTCTACACCAACTACAATACCAGTAGAAGTACAGTGTGAGTAATAATATCATTGTATTTGTATAACAACCAACTTCACCCGGATATCTACTTTACCTTCAAAACAATGAAAGTTTTGAAATTTCTAAATAATTACTTAAACCAAATACCAGATGTAATACAAGATGTAAATCATAAGTATTGATTTATTTGCTTAACGTAAAACCTACTTCGTATGACGTCATATTGAGTAAATGAATTTAGTCCGTCTTTTTAGTGCTAGGTCCATTATGACGTCATAATTAATTTAATGTTACTTTTTCTCGTACTTCACGACTTTAAGGTAGGTCGCGGGTTTGCTTTTGTCATCAATTTTGGTGCACAATTTCGACGATTCGAGCGATTGTTTTGTGCACATTTGATTATGACGTCAGTTACGTCACAAAGGCGACGTTACGTTGTTTCCCGTATAATTCTCTGAAAATAACTTCATAAATAGTCTACAGGTACGAATCAAGTAGATTAATTCAAAGTACATGCTATTGTACGTAAACCTCGTACATGTATGAACCAAGATGATATTATTAAATGACAGTCTGAATTCTGATGTGATTATGCGTAATGTCTTAGAATAAGCTAAATACGATACCAAATGAAAGGAATAATTTATATTGTAAGTATTACTTAACTGCTGAAAGTAAATCGAAATGAGTCAGTGTAAAAGTTATGGTATGCAAAAAGAAAATTATCGTAAATTTCTTAGCCAAAAACTTGAAGGGTTGTATGTGCGCACGTACATGTAATTTGCACCTAAGAGGGAAGTGCGTATTACACCATGATTGCCGAGGCAAAACTTTTTCAGGATGGAATCAATCCTCAAAAATAAAAACGGATGGAACTTTATTACATTACATGTATTTTCCTGTTATTTATTATTATTATTTCAATCATCATAATTATTATTTATTTTGTATTTGAATCTCGTGTAGCCGCTATGTATATGCAGGTTAATAAATTGTGAAATGCATTTGATTTAGAGAATTCTAAATTAAGAAATGTTTGAGAGATAGAGCTATGTAACATCTTGCAACTAATATAGAAAGAACATTGCCGGTAACCCCTCCCCCCCCCCTCCCCATTTTTCTCAGTATTAGGATGTTTTTTTCTTCACCGTTTTCGAATGAAGTGATCAAATTCATGTGTTATGCCCTGAAATCCTACTGAACATGAACATCCTAAAAATACATGAATAAATATTTTATCACTCGCCGTGTTGTCGCTGCATGTTAATTCTGATACACGAGAAATGTTTAATATACCCTTCATTCTAACTTTGTGGGCCGAATATAAATTTCACAATACTAGTGTAAATAAGTTGCCGGTCATCCTAACATGTTTCCGCAATAAGTGAAATGATGAATAAAATTACATTTTGCAACTATTTCACCTTTTAGATCTTGCATATTCCAAATGTAAAGATATTTATACTCGTATGTAAACGTGATTACGTTCAACACATGACGTTGAAGTCATAAATAACGCCATAAACGCAACATTTTGGCAATATAAAAGCAAACTTTGAAATAATTTAGCAAAAAAACTAGCGAGAAGACATATTGATTTTTTCATCTCAATAATTTTAATTTTACCTCATCTGGATATTTTGAAATTCCTGACTAATTCGTCTACGTCATTAAAAAGTTATCCAACCTTTTTTAAAGAAACTCTTCTCGCAGAAATGGCTTAAATACGTCAGTTTTCTATATATTTCAATAGTAAAGCGTAAAAATAGTACTAAAAACTATACCGCGTTTACAGTAATACAGCAATCAAACTACGTAGACAAGTTTAATAAAAATTACAGATAAAATGCTACAAATTCTAAGGAACATTATATTAAATTTTCAGGATATGTTTTCTCGTAAGAATTTTTAAGCAGTAAACCCGCACCTACCTTAATCCAAGACTGTCTCATGTAATGAAGTTACACAACTGTGATAATGTGAATGGCATACAACTTTTTTAAGGAATGCAAAAATATTACAGTTCAGTTATAAAGTCTATTAACGACGATGTTTGAAGAAGTATTTTTGTGATTTTCTATATTCTCTTTATGACCAGTACCCCTAAAAATGGCTGAAAATATGTAGTCGCAGTGTAAATTTATCATTCCAAGTTGCACAGGCTGCACTACATTTAATAACAAGGAAACATACCATATATTTTCAACTAATTGATAAGCGAGTGCTAATTTATCATTTTAAAAAGTTGCTTGTGACAAAGACTTTTCCGACATAGGTACATGTACAAACAGGTACAATACGATAAAGGTTGATGTTGTATTGTATAACTAAAAGGAACTAGCTTTTAGCATGGTGGCATCAATTCAATACCTGCATGTAGTAAGTGTGTCATTTTCTCAATATGATTGAATATACATTAATTATTTAACTACAGTTTACAATTTGGCTAGATATTTGGCTATTTTATCAAAGTATCGAAGTCTTTACTGTCATGGTGAATCAGAGTAATTTTTCTATATATTACGATGTTTACTATGTATATTTTTTAAATTGTTACATTTATTTAAAGAGACATCGTGACGGAAAAAGGGGAAATTATTTCAAAAGAAACATGATTTTGACTCATTATGTAACTTCAAAGATGTAAACGCTCTCAAATACATATAATTCGAAACGGCCAAGTATCAAAGTAGTTAAGTATGTACTTAAAGGGTGTGTTAGAACTTTATCTATATCAGAACTTTATTTTTCAATTCTTTTCGATATATCATGAGAATTCGGAATTTAGATTTGTTTAATAATAGGAAACCTTAGTCGGTAAAAACTAGGTTGCAACTGTTTAGGCGCCAAGCATTCAGTATCTTAAAAGCTTGAAGTAAACGTTACTGATCTTTCTGATAATAAGACCTAAAAAAAATGAGTCCCTATATCACACCAGACCTCTACATGCTAACGTTCCCGCGATGCTAAAACGCGAATGAGATTCAGAGGTCTAAATTTTGAAGTCCTTCACGGTTATACATCTCATGAGTGAAATAATGCATTACAAGGGACGTATAAATATAACGTCAAATGAATCAACATTTCTTTAGATTTATTGTACTTTATTAATTATTTTCTAGAAAGTCTCTGAAGATCAATCTATTGATGAAAAAAATTAAAAGGCGTAATATCGCCTTTTCAAAAGACGTATCAATGCGAAAAAGGTACATATGATAACACGAAGTGAAAGGCGTTATAACGCCAAAAAGGGCTTAAAAACAAAAACAACAAAAACAAAAACAAAAACAAAAAACAAAAGATATAGTCAAAAAGAAGTTAATGTTTTCCAATTAATACTACAGCAAGAATATTCTCCTATAAGTGGGATAGGGTGGGTATGTTCATCTTGTATTATGGGCCTGTTTGGGATACCGTTATATTGAAAAATGTTAAGGCGTTGTTAGATGTATTTGGTAATATTTATCTGAGTGGTGGAATCAAATTGGAATCAAATCTGTATTTATGCAACATTTACAATAATTTCTATACGTCTGCACATTTTGCAGACAATTGTTAGTATGAGTATTGAAAGAAGTCAACACTCTACTTATAAAATAGATGCAGTTTGGGCTTTGCTGGTCACATGTTAAAATTTAATAATATATATATTATACGTTTGAAAACTCATTTCGTTTCTTTTGGAAAAAAAAGCAGTTTAAAAATTGAAAATATATTGCACATTTAAATATCTTATTTTCCCATGATATCATTACAATAATTTTTAGAAATTATTCCTATACCAAATTGTGAAAATCATGCCCCAAGGGTCAACATTTCAGCCCCCCGGGCGTAATATCGTCTTTGAAAAGGGGTTTTAAAGCCTTTATTGAAAAGGCGTAAAACACCTTTTGAAAGGCGTAATAAGGTCTTTTTTAAAACCTTTATTAGGCCTTTCTTCGCGTTATAACGTTCTTTTATTTTTTCTCCATATATTGCTTCTGATAGGCTTTCTTTATAACGCCTTTTATAAACTTTTTCTACGTACTTGTAGATTGGTTCTAATAACTTTCGTAATTTTCCGATATATTACATGTATAAATTAGTTTTTTTATGACCACATTCCTAGCATAGTTGTCGGGAACGTAGCATCGTTTTTGAAAGCTTAAGGGGGGGGGGGGGGGGGGGCAGCCAGAGAAACAAATTCTATTGATCTGGAAAGAAAAAACTGGACAAGCAAAAACAAAACAGGAAAATTGTGCAGACTTGATTGATTGATTGTTTGTATGTTGTTTAACGTCACATTCGAAAATTTTTCACTCCTATAGAGACGTCACCATATACCGGTGAAGGGCTTCAAACTTTGACCTTTACTCGGCACTTAGGGTCATTGAGCAGTGAGGGTTCTTTATCGTGCCAACGTCTGCCGTGACACGGGGCCTCGGTTTTTAAGATCTCATCCGAAGGACCCGCAACTTTCACTTAAAAGTGCCGAGCGCATAGCGAAGGAACAGTTGCTACCCATTTTTTATCGACTTAGGTCAGTCGCAGCCGAGATTCGAACTCACGACCTCCGAACTTGATAATCCTATTTTGTGTGTGTGTGTTAGTGTGTATGTGTGTGTGTGTGTGTTTGGGGGGGGGGGGGTACGTACCAACTTTTTTCAGTATAAAATTTTATTCACATTACTACAAAACCCTTATTTGACTATATTGCAACAAAAAAACTGGGGGGGGGGGTCAATAGGCTTTTCAATGAACATTTCCAACAGTAAAAAGTTATGTTTGGAATATTTGGGCATGCCCCCTCTTTCTACGTGCCTTGATGTGGCAATTTATAACCTGTTAATCGGAAAATTGATCATAGTAATTGCAATCGATTGTCATACATGTATACAAAGTATGTTTATTATTATTATTTTTTATTATTTATTTATTTATTTATTTATTTATTTATTTATTTTGTTTTGTTTTGTTTTGTTTTTGTTTTTGTTTTTTGTTTTTTTGTTTTTTTTTTGTTTTGTTTTGTTTTGTTTTTTTTTTTTTTTTTGTTAC